CCCCTGAACCAGGCTGAACGGCAGTCTGCAACCACCGTGCTGCATCAAAACCCGTCACTGGTAACGTCTATTTTGCCGTTCATCACGAGGATCAAAGGTTTCGAAATGCCGGTTTTCAGGTCATGTAGGCTCCACCTCAGGCCCCTGATTCGTAACCGTTACCACTGCCGGCGGACACGTGTCGCTTTTCGGTTGGTCCTTTTTATGCCGTTCACCTGTTGGTTAGTTGCGGTTCAAGACCTGAATTCCAACGACCTCCACGTCATGGATTTGCCTCTTTTGAGTGATTTTATGCGCACTACCAGGAACTCCGAGTCCTAGTAAGCTCAGCAGGATGCGGGATTCAGGCCGTCGCATTCTGCACGCGCAGCAACGGCATCATGGAGTCAGGACGCAAGAGAAAGGCTGAAGAGCTTCCCCTCACAGTCGGAGAGATGGAGAGCCTAGCTGAAGGTTGGTTTGTTGAGAGTAGCACTCATTTGTGGACAAAAAACTGCGTTACATCATCCAGAATCATGTTTTTGAAGCGCTGTTTGGTGCAACCTGAAGTGAAATTTTCAGAGTCCACGAATACATTTGTATCGTCCAAGCCGTAACTTGTGTGTGTATACTCTGCTCATATACTTCTCTTCTCTCACACTGCAGTGCCATTTGTCAATTTCAAGGATGTTCTGAAACTTCCGCTGCCGAAGTTTATCCTCGACCTGTCAGGCAAAGGGAGTAGCGACCGCCCTGGAACGTGAGTGTTCCCTGAATTCACTCATGGAAACATGCAGCAGAGTCTTCACACTCTCATCATCATTGTCCTGTGTCCAAAAGCTTGCTTACTAAGCTGAAGTGGAAACCATATCTAGCTTGCTATGTCTCCTCTTTTGCTTGTCCATGTACTTGCACTTTCAAGGGCGAACCTCAACATGTTGTCAGTTGCAAACCTCTTTTTCTGCAGGGTTCCGGATGAGGTTTACCGCTTCAGTGTTGCAAAAGAAGTCCGGGATCGAATTCGAGCCCTGCCGGACATCCCGATGCATTTGCAGGACCCAATCCCTGCATGCTCTGTTTTCCAATCTGAAAACAGCTGCAATGCAGAGCAGCAGAGGGTGCTCTTTGAACCTATCAACTACGTAAGCCTGGACAATTACCATAAACTTTTTCATCAGTCTTTCATGGAAGTGCTTCCACAGACTATACAAACCTCTTCTTGCCCCTGAGTGCCGCCTGCCTTGAGTGTCAAAGTCCATATATTCGCTCTTGAGCAATATGACACAAGCAGGTATGGTCACAGCTGAAATGGTCACGTGTCCTCACTGCTCAGAATTGAGGTTGTAAAGGTGTGGAGAGCCTTCTCCTTTTGTCTGCAAATGTCCTCGTCTGCAATTATCTCTCTTGGTGTAGGATTGTGACTTGGTGGAGAGCCTCCTTCTTAGGAGCCTACTCAATGAAGGCTGCATCCGCACTTGCAGATCTTGGCGCAATGGCCGGAAGGGACGGTGAAACAGTACCGAGTGCGGCTGAACGCTCTGCAGCCGGACCGAAGGCATTCCGAGCGAGATTCGCTCTGCGGAGAATTCTCCAATACAACAAATGCCACCCAGCCTGACAATGAGGTGCTCCGCACCTTTGATCAGATTGGCAACGTAGCCCTCAGGTGAGCTTTTAGTTTGTCGTGTCCTGATGTAGGCCTGACAGTCTGTGTGGAAACTGCTGGGGTAGCCTTCTTCAGCTTCTTCACTTCTGGAGCGACACATGCATATCAAATTGTGGCAGCTACGACAAACATCTTCTGATAATAGTCAGATCCAGACCGCTGCTGCAAGGGACCATTGCTTGTGCACTTGGATGCCTTCTTCCTCCAGCTATTAGGTGCTGAAGAAGGACAAGCGACTTCTGGCTGGAAACATGGAGATATGTTTTGTGCCATTCGCAGTCCTGTTGAGCTGCTAGAGCCTTGCTTCTGTTGCCAAGAGCTTTCATCTGTTGACCAGCTGGACAGCTGGAGATTTTTTTTTGCCGAAGCCTCCTCCTTGATCCTTCTCTTGAGACATCATGATAGAGTCGGTGCTCTTCGTCTTTTTCAAGCTGCCACGTTTTTCTCATGTGGCCCAGGGCACAAGAGCTGAGGCGCTCCTCTTCTCTTGCAGAGCGCGCAGTGCACTTGCCTGCGAAGGCAAGCGCTGGTCGGTCTTCATTGCAAATCTTCCAGACAACATCATCCACAGCGGCCACTTCGACTTGGGAAAGGCCTACATGGAGGATTCGGAGGACCTGAGGTGCATTCATCACCTTATCTGTATGCTTCACAGGCAGCAGAAACGAAAAAGGCTGAGTTGCGATCTGTGGCCTATGTTCTCAGGTGCAGCCCCAACAGATTGGCTCGATGAAAGGGCAGGTTCAGTTGACAATGCAAGGTACTTCGAGCATCACGTGTGCGTGTATCTTGACTTGGCTGCTATTTGATTTTCCAACACTTGCGCGCAGTCCGGACGCCCGTTCAGCCTTCTACCAGCTTGTACGGTATTTGTTCCTTGGGGACATGGACGAGGGCATTCTGTACACTCTGATGGTCCTTTGGATCGTGCGGATTGTCAACAGAATACCGCTGAAAGTGGCTATTTCCGAGCCGATCACCAGGGACTCGGTCAATCCCTCCATGCGGGAGGTAAGCCTGTGGTCTCATCATCGTGCATTAGCCATTTTTCCTGAGAAGAAGTGCCCATAATAGTTGCTGGAGACATCAGGAGTTGAATGCTGACAACAAGAGGGATGTTGTCGGTCATAGGTGGTGACCTAACCTTCTGCAACAGCTTGGCTGAGTGGTAGGTGGATGAATCACACCATTTTTCCCTGGCAATTTAGAGATGGTGGAATTGACTCCCAGGTATTGGAAAGCCACATGGATTCTTCCAGGTCTTATAAATTCGGGTTTGACTTTTTGATCATGGAAGCCCAAGTCTGAGAGAGGATTCGAAGGAAGCGGTGCATCTGGTGTAATCTGGTTGGGCAGTCACGTTGTATGCAGCGTAATTAGATGGATCCTATCAATCGCTTGTCGCTGCACCAGTTGCTTTGGGACTTGCTCGTTGTCTTCCTGTTGATTCTTCTCTTGGTCTTTCCATAAACCTGTTTAGGGTGGCATCCAGTCTCACTTATTTTGGCCATCCAGGTGGCCTTTGTCACAATTCTGAAGGCGGTGGAACGACTGGAGAACAAGTCGGAGAGGAGGAGACGGGAGCTGGAAGCTGTCGGTGTGACTGCCCGTGACGGCGGAGAGGGGGGCATGCGGTCAACCGAGGAGTACAAAGGTGCAGCGGGTGTCTCGAGCAGCGTCGAGCAACAGCCGTCGACTTCAACGTTGCCCAACACGGGTGACGCGCTGATTGCCAACTTCCGAGAAGTTTCGGCACCCATCCTGGGTAACTCGATGGTTAGGGTCGGCAGGTGCGCAATTCCGTTTTCTTTGCTGCTGATTTGATATGACTCAGTAACATTAGAAGGTGAGGATTGTCATATTGGGTTGGAGCCGATTGCTAGCATCGGCGTTGCTAGATCAACGTTGGTTGTTGACGTTGTGTTGACACAAGGGCTAGCTGCTATTAGTTGTTGATCTCAGTAGCAATTGCATCGTTTTGAACTCTGTTTGGCAATAATTTTCTGGAAGCCGCGTCGAATCATGGTCAGCTTCAATGCTGCCTGTGACTCTGTATGGGCAAGTACTGCATAGCTGCTGGAGACCAGATTGACAGTCGTGACGGCCACCTCTGACAGTCTTTGCCTTCCTACATAAAAATCTGCTGCACGTGTTAAGGCTGTTGGTGGTTTGTACCGGAGTCGCAGCTCGAATTGTCCATTGTCCACTTCAGTGCTTCCAAGACTCTTTTCCTCTGAAGTCCACAGGATAGGCAGATATGGGCCACTTTAGCGCCTGGCAGAGCCAATATCTCAGACGATAACATTGTCGCTGCAGAATTGACAATGGCGAGGTTGTCGCTGCCAAGTTCGTGCCTGGAGATGACGAAGATTGGGTTCGTGAATTCGATAACGAGGCGAGAAGTTTGGACGAGATGAAGGTACTCCAGGGAACGGCCCTTCCCGAGAAGGTGTATGCGGGCAAGGTGCATAATGGCAAAGATCGATTATTGGTCACGAAGCTGGTTGAAGGACAGAGGCTCGACGAAGTTGCTGTGACTAGTCAAGTGGCAAACAATGCAAGGAAGGTTCTGGGGGACATCCACAATCTAGGGTTCTCGCATGGAGATGTGGCCCCCCGGAACATCATCGTGAAGAAGTCAGGGCAGGTTGTCTTTGTTGACCTCGGAAGGGCACGCAAGGGTTCCGAAGCTCTCTTTGAGCAAGAAAGGAAACAACTAGAGAAACTTTTCTGAACGGTGTCGATGCTGGCTAGAGGGTGCTGGACCTGCTCACCGTCGAGTTCCTGACGGTCTGCCAAGGGCACGCAGCCACGCTGCTCAAGGTCAGGAGTTGCCCGTTACTTGGTTTCAGTAAAAGGATGTGCTGATGTTCTTTATTCTGCACATGGCCCGAGCAAGGCTTGTTCAGCTTCACCCAAGCTTCCAAGGTATAGCCGCGTTCAAGCCACCATCTTTTTAGATCAATGGAACACTTTACTGTTGCCATAACCTATGGTATGCAAGGTTTCGAAGTCACTAGAGATCTGATTTCAGTATTATATTTGTGTTCGAATTGCTTGTTAAACCGCAGCAATATTTTGAAAGCGAGCGGCACTTGTGCATGTGATAGCTTGCCACGACATATATGCTCGTGGCCCATTATCAGGAGGCACTCTGTAATTGTGATTCAAGCACCCGGCATCGTACTTGTATGCGGTAGAACATATACGGCTGCCGTCATAATTTGATGTGCAATTGGCTAGCTCAGAAGAAGCATACGCGCAACATGTATGCGACGGGTACCGGTATATGGCCTTGAAGTCAATTGCATGAATGCACGT